TCAGAGAAGGTTAGTTTCGATTTTTTTTTTTCTAGGCTAAAGTGAGATTTGCTCTTTATGGGACACATGTAAAACACAATGTTGACAGTAATGGTTCTGTTCTTGCTGCTAATAGAGTGTAAGCTTGAATGTAAACAATGCCCAATTTTAATCAGATACTTGTGGGCTATGGAGTGTAGTTCTAAGGGATTTGCAAACAGTAGCTGAAAAAAGCTGACAGGATGGCTGAAATTGCTAATTAGGGGCTGCACCTCCCCACTGAAAAATGAAGGGCATAGGAATTGGAGGGTTGAAAACAGCTGTTTCAAGCAAAAGTTGAGAGCAATACAAGGTGTATAGTGTATTTTCAAAGCTACATTTAATCTCAAGATTGTTTCAAATCCTCTATAACGTTTTGAAACACAGCAAAGCAAACTATAATCAAGTCCTAATGAATAGTCTGTTTTGAAAATGCCTTTTTAATTGTTTCTCCATTCTCCTGCAAATTAAAAAAAGAGAGAGAGAATGGACCTGTCCTTCCTTTCAGTTGGGGCAGGAGATAGAAAGCAACCTAGCCAGACATTTTTTCTTTAACGTGTCAACTAGGATTACATACAACATACATCCATTTTGGATGTGAGGCAGACTGAAACTTTAATGCTTAATTGTAATGTGTGCTGCTTTAGTGTCTTAGTGTGTTAAAATGAGAAAATTGACTGAACTGGCTATTTGACAGTTGCAGGGAATTTTCTGGTGACATAGGGGCATGTTATTATATCTGTCAAAACATTGTCCTCCGCAGCAACATATATGGGTGATTTTAAGGCCAGATTCGGCTGCCGTGGTCTTTAAGTATTATCAAAGATGGATATTTATGCTGTTGTGCCATACTGTAGTTCTGTCATGGCAGATTTTATTGTCTAGGGATATATTGTATATGTTTAATTTCAGTCTTCAGCAATAATATTTCTTAAAAACTTAGTGCTGTTTTAGATTTTTTTTTTACGCTATGAGTTACCTCCATCTCTTCTCAGCTATAGTAGTCAATAAGCAGCATTAGAAGAAATCATATACCTATGGAATGTGGACCAAGGATATAAAGTCTTGCATTCAAGTGCATTCTCTTCAAATTTATCTGTTTTCTATTTTTTCTTATTAACTTAAATTAACTTTAAGAAAACAATTGGAATCAGATGGGACACTAAATCCAGGCTATAGTTCAACAGTGCTTGAAATACATAAAGATTATATTAAGTGTTTTTCCTACTATTTTCTTCAAAATAACTGTACAATCTTTGGCACTCCTGAACGCAGTCAGTTTGGCTTGTATTTCTTTTTATGAAGCAGAAGTGAAAATACTACAGTGAGGAAGGAAAATTAGAGGAACTCCTTTGTGTTGTGGGAGATCAGGGATTCAGTTCTCTGTTCCAGCATGGTTAGGCAAATCATTTGGGAGCCAGACGCTACTAAAAATGTCCATCTTCCTCTTTATGCTCCTAAATAGTTGCAGAAATCTGACCTGTTGTCTGTCTGTCTGTCTTCATCCAGTTAACTTGAGAGGCAACAGAAAATAGAATGCGTATGAGTTGCAGAATAGATACCAGCTTTGGAGTGGCATACAGTGGGGCCAGGAGCCATATTTTAAGATGACAAAACTGAGACGTAATGGTCCCAAGGATCTTTTGAATGCGAAGAGCCTTGCTTAGAGATTCAAGATGCCGCAAATCTGACAATTAACAGAATTTGTCTTTTGGGACCTTTTTGCCTCTCGGAGGCTGGTGTGTGCATGTTTGTGTGTTGCTGTCCTTCCTACTTGCTGCCCTCTAATTTGGATAAGTGAAATGCCTAATGGCATATCACCTGTGAAAGACGACAGCTCCAGAAATAACATGCAATCTTCTCCAAGCCAGGTGTGGTGTATCGGTAAAGAAGAATGTATGATAAGCCATTAACAGATAAGTAACAGTTTTTCATTTTTTGGTCTTTGTTTGTGAGAAACTTGCTTTTAATTTAGGTAGTTATTACTATAAACTATAACTCTTCTTGAAGTGGGCACTTTTTGTTGGAAGTAACTAGTGTGGTTGTGGTCTTAACTGGGAATCTATGCTTTTTGTGGTCTTGTTAGAAAAAATTAGAGGAAATAGTGTCTCATGGTTTTGCCATTAAAACCATGTGGGATTCTCTGATTAACAGATTAATCAAATGATTTCACATAATCTGTTTGTACAAATGGGCATAACTAATCCTTGGTAATAGTTGTAAAAGGTTTGGGGAAGTTTGCATTATCATAGGATGAAACCATTTTAAAAATGTCTGTAGTAAACCTCCAGAGGCAAAACTCTGGGGATAAAATGTCCCTTCTTTGCCAGCATTTTAACAGATTGCAATTACAGCTGATGTTACGGTGTTGCAATACTGTAAAGGAAGCTATGACAGGAAGGAAGTATTGCATCCTTCTCTATTATGAAATGGATAACGGCTTTGTGGTCATCTTTGGAAAACACCTGATTCTTTTTCTTGAGGAATAAATCCTCTCTAGAACAGAGATTAAGAATGTTTGCAAGCAATTACATATTCATCTATTTTAAAAACTTTTTACACTGGTTACACTTGAGTAGTTGCTCTCTGTGTATTATAACAATTAGAACCCTTCCTATCCATTTTCTTAGGTTTGGACAATTTGCATATGCCTGCTACTAAAACTAGATTAAATTTAAGTAATTTAGCTGTTGTACATCATTGCTTGTTCAGAGTGATAAAGCCATAATACCTTTTTTGATGTACTGAGGTGAAAGTAAGGCCACAGGCATAAACTGGTAGTTTAAGAGCATGGTAAGTTTTGAGGATACTAGAATTCAGTGCTGCTGTTGTGGAATTTCATGTTCTTTTAAATAGAAATCCAAGAAGGGCAGTTAATTTTTTTCTTCCACCACTTAAATAACCCCTTGTTCCTGATGCTAGTACATTTTTTGACAACAAATAGCTTACCTAATGAAAACCAGAAATACTCAGAAGCTGATTACACTCTGACTACTTTCAACTGGATTTTTTTCCCACACACAAGCTAAATCAGCTGGAAATAGAATGTCACTGTTGTTGTTTGTGCATTCTGCAGTGGCTTAAGCCAATGAAAGTCGGTGCAACCACTGTTCCGGTCCCTCCCCTTTAGATTTAAGGGGATGAGGCAGTTCAGATCCCCAAACCAGAAGAAATCAGTCTAACAAAAGTGAAGGATTTTCTGTTGATTTAGTGCTCTGAGTTAGATTATCGAAGGGTCTGTGCACCACTACTGGCATAAGAGAAGTCAGGAACGTCAAAAGAGACAACGGAAGGACTAGGGCAGTGTCATCTTAATGTCAACTTATACTGTTGTGGAAATGTACCTTTTATAAACTGAAAATAATACATCCTGATGCACAGTTTCATCTTACTACTGACTAGAACAAAATGATTTTCCTTCATATGGCATAGCTATGCAAATGTGTGCATTTGATCTCATTATAAAGTAGTTGAAATGCAGCCCAATTTGCACTGTAACTTTAGAACCATGCTACAAGTGCTCCATGATGTAAATCTGCCATGATGGCAGATCTGAAATTATATTGAATTATATTGACTAACTTTAATACTATTGTGCAATGAAGCTGTGGCTTCTGAAGCAGTTAGAATTTCCAAGCATAAATACAAGCTATTGGGGTTTTTTGCTGCTGTGGCTATTGGGAGAGCCTTTTTTTCAAAGATATCAGCTGTCCTTTCAATAGTTAGAAATAGAAGATAGACAAGAATTAAGAATTGTTTTATAAAAAGAAATTAAAATAGTTAAAACATAGTTTTTTTGTTTTTTTGTTTTTTTTATAATAACCCTTCTCTAGCTACAAAAGCTACCAGAAAGAATGTGGTGTGGCTACCTTTGAACTTCTATAAAAATAAATACAGGTCTCAGTAAATCAGGTCATCTCTTGCAGACTTTATTAACATGCTCTAATTAAAGTTAACTTGATAATGAAAAGAACAAAAAGCCTCCTTTAGAAACCAAACATAATGTTTTTTTTTCTGGCTCCCTTCACAATTAAGTTATGATTATAAGTCCAGGAATTATGGCTTTGGTATTTGAATTAGCCAATACTTTGTTCCCAATATGGGGAAAATGTGTGCTTTTCAAGAGAATGGCTCATCAAGGTCTGGGTGAAGGCTTTGTATCCTCATAGGGAAAAAAAAAATTCCTGTAAGGACTGGAGAGCCACAGGAAGAGAAAGGATAGATGGAAAGAGCAGAGTGAAGGGGAGAGGTAGATTTGCTCTTGCTTTGGCTACGGAATAGCAAGGTAAAGTAACAAATGTGCTTAGGAGATGCTGCTTTCTCACACTAGTTACTACCATGTGCACCTTGAGTTTAACCTTGGCAACAGCAATGAGCAATGGCTTTTCAGGATGCTGGTGAAGTAGGTAATGTGGATGTGGTCATCTTGTTCATGTCTTGGTTGTTACTGTTTTGTCCTTTCGTATAGATGTCTGATTCACACACCTCTGTCTTCAGTTTCAGTGAGGATTTGGCTGGCAAGGATGGCTAGGTTAGAACTGCTTTGAACACATCACTTAAAATAATTTGGAAGTTATTGAAAATGGCTGAATGAGACCAATGCAGTTAGAAACTTGCATACCTTTTCTTTCTCTTTGAGCGTGAATCTGACTAAGTGTTCCTTGAGGATTTGAAGTGTTTTGGTTCTTTTCTTGTGCAGGTTCTTGTCAAGTATGTCCGACTCTATACATTTCTCATTACAATTGGATGAATCAAAAGAAGATGTACATGCAGTTCAAAATGTCGCAGAGTTTTTGACTGCTTTTTGAAATTACACTTCTGAATGCTTGCGGGTTTCCTGTGAACATGAGTGATTTTTAGAAAATAATTTCTAATGTTGTCCTCACCCTACACCCTGTTCTTTTTTTTTCTTTTCTTTTCTTTTTTTTTTAAAAAAGATACTGAGTCTTCAACCAAGTTGGAATTGAAACCTTCTTTGTTATTTTGGAAGTTGAATTATGAAGTACACACTGCATCAAACATCCTTTCATCAAGACTGCAAAGATTAAATTTCGCAAGGCTGGCCTGTGAAAATGCCTTTCACTTTTTCCACTCAATTGCACAATTTTCTTCTGTGACCAAGTGCTAATTTATACGGACTCACTGTAATTATACAGTGATTAGTACCTTTATTATTGTGTGCGGTCATACATAATGCAGGAGAGAAACACTTTTCAAAACTGAGCTACTCTAAGCTAATAAGTGATCAGAGGTCAGATTTTTTTAGCAGTAGTTCTGCAGTGTTCTGCCTTTCCCTGTTGGTATGATCAGCACAAATACCTCCCTTCAAGAAGGAGTAGCATCCAGGGATCAGGCAGTCCCTGGATTGGCCATCCCTGAATCACCAGTCAAAAGATTGGTTGGTAAAGCAGAATGGGGAAGAAATATGATGAGTCTTCCTTTTGAGGGCGCTTTCTTCCCCTGCATTTCAGCACTAGCAGCTTTGCTTTCTTCCCACCCTCAAGGCAAAATAGTTTACCTTTTAAGAGCATTCCTCCCCAGACTGGATAAAAATGTACATAAGTGTGGATGTGAAAACACATTTCTGGCATGGATTTCTATGATATTCTTTAACTTAGTTTTCTGTCTCTATGGCAAATCACTTGTAGTGAATCATGTCGCCTCTTTGTAGGATGTTTTTCTTTACAAGTAAATCATTAAAGATGGTGGTAGCTGGAATAGTTCCTGCTGTTTTCATCAAGTGCCCTCTGGAACGTCCGAAGTGTTGCAGCCCAGTCCACCAGAACATTTAAAACTATGGGAACTTTAAGCTTTTGAGCAGTCCTGAAGCAGTCAGAAGCATGACTCTTATTTATTTTTAAGCGCTTGCTTAACTGTTTTGTTAGGTCTGTTGCAAGTTTTCCTCCCTCTGAAAGATTGAGCAATCTTCTAAGTTAATGCAGCATATTGTTGTTATTGATCTGTCAGCACAGGCAACTATTAGAGCATGTCCAGGATACAGGTGCACACAATTCAAAGAGTCTAGTCCTGTTTATGTTCATTGAAGCAACATTTCTGGTATGCCAAGGAGAGTGTAGATGTCAGTTTGGTTCTGTTTCTATTAAATCACATTTGTTTTATAGGTTATTTAACAGTAAAATAAATTGAAGTTTCCAAATATCAGCATATATATTAACGCTAAAGTAACTGAACGTTATTAACATTAAAAAAAAAAACCCACAAAACTCTAAATAGCAGAGGAAATTTAGAAACATCAAAACAGTTCACAGTACAGCCTTGCACTTAGGTCATGAAGGGTGGGGAGACAGCAGTGTCGATCCAAAAATAAAAACAAAATTAACAAGTTACCTGCATGAATTTGGATGCTTAGCTGAAAAGATGAAGGCTAATGAATGCTCTGGAAGTTGGGGCGGGTGCTGAAGCTGTGGGCTGAAATGGCTGCTGTGAGGGAAAGGCCAAGAAAAAGGCAGCTAGTAGTAAAAGTAATAGCAGTAGGAAAGAGTCAATAAAGTGGATGTCGGGACTCATGGTTCTGACTACAAAGCGTTCAAGCACGCCAGCAACGTGGCCTGAGAAATCCGGTTTGCTTGGGGGATTTCGCTTTATCAAACAGGCTTATTTAGATACCGGGATCAGCAGGGTGAAATGGTGTGGATAGTTGTAGTTGGCACAAAAAACAGCCTGTGAATGGTGACAGGTAGCAAATACTTGTGTGCGCGGTGGGGGATATTAAGCCTGCTGCTTGCTAGCTACAGCTGTATGGGCTGGTGTGAAGTCTTATAACACCTGGACTAAACAGAGTTGACATGTCCTGAATCCTCCTATTAGAGGCATGAGACAGGCCACCTACTAGTAGTCTGATTACGTTTTGTGCTTCTACATATAGACTATTACATTGGGCAAACTGGGGCTTGGAGCTCAGAAAGAAGGTGAACGTCCTGACTAGAGGAAAGATTCTGGAAATAGGGAAGGATCCTAGAGATGGGAGAGATATATGGATGCAAATGCTGGCTGGTAAAGCCTGAGGCTGGTAGCTGTGGGCATCTGCACAGCAGGGAACTGGCAGGCCTTTCTGGGCCAGCAGAGACGGGAAGCTGACACCTAGAGAACATAGCGCTGGCCAGGGGAAGCATGTAAGTTTGTACGATAGAGCTATGACCCTGCTTGACTAATCTTGTGATTTGTTTGTTTGTTTATTTGTTTAAAATCCTGTATCCAGATCTATTACAGCTTGTTATCTACTCTAGCTTGCCTGTGACAACAGTGTAGGGGAAATGCACATGTAACTTCGGTTATGGATCTCTTCTTGGACTGGGGACAAGACCCCTGGATGACATCTGTATTGATGAAGGTATTGAAAAGCAGTATCTGTGCTTGGAGATTTAATTGTCTGCTTCAAATGGACTGCTGATGCTTAATAAGAAACGCATTACTGAGGACTTTAAATTCCCACTCACTAACTTCAGAGCATCCCTTTTAATTGCAATATGCCTTCCAATTTTGATTACACTCCTCCTTTTTTATGTTGCTGATGGCTGGATGATTTTCCTCTAAGTCGTTAGTTGGAATACATTTGTTTGCTTTAAAAGGGATCCTAACTTCTGTTGTTTCTCTCTGTAAGTGCTGATTACCTAAATAATGAATTAGGTACATCTCTTGTCAGTGTGTGTCAGTAATGGTTGCTACTTAATACGCTTGTTTCATTTTAAATGGTTATGCAGTTTAAAGACATATTGCTGAATTGACTCATCTACATCAAAATGTTGGATATATCATTATACAGACAATACTTTCAAGCAGCCTTAAATACAGTGTGAGCTTTGTAACAAGACACCCTAAAATCTACGCTTCTGGAAACTGCAGATTGTCTGTTTAGTCATAGAGCTAATATGCGTGTGTGCTGTCTCTGACCTCTAGAGTCAGAGGATCTTTCTTTTCCGAATGGGGTTACACCTCTAAATCGCTTACCCCAGAAGCCTTTTTTCTGACCGAGGAGGAAACACAGGGCCCTTCGGTGCAGAACGGGTGCAGAAGGGCGCGGCGCTGCCTGTGGAGCTGAGCCCCCACCCCGTTTGCCAGTACTAGAGCAGAAGAAAGCTGTGCGATGCACGGTTTTGTCCCGGAGCACCCGA